CAGCTATTTCTTTGACACATTTTTCAGCATGTCCACTACATTTCTGTCATCTACGTATCATTATAAAGCCAAACCGTACGGAAAATGCCATGCTTTCTAATTTAAGGGTTACAAGAAGTGAAATCAAAGCTTTATATGTTTTCATCATTTTAAAATGTTTTTTTTGTTAGCTAGAACATAAGCTGGTATGATTCCATGTCATATGTAGGTGATTATTCCGTTACATCAGCTGAAGGCAGTCAATCCATCAACGAGCAAAGTGAAAGCAGCTGAAAAGTACATCCAGGTCGTCTCTGTTGACAACCATGAGTTTTGGTTCATGAGCTTTGTGCACTACGATAGTGCTGTGAAACATCTTCAAGAAGTAGTGCAGCCGCACCCTCAGAGTCAGCCCCAGAGCGCATAACGAGTGTAAGCCCCAATTATTTGCCATGTCACCGAAGAGGCATAATGTTGGAAAAACATCTATGTAGATGTATTATCTCCGGAATATGGTTTCCATGAGCTATAATGTGAATGTTGTATGTATTTTTGTTCCTGTTGGTGGAATTGCTGTGCTATGTTTCTTGTCGGAACCCACAGATTGCAGCTTTACTTTTCCATTATAGCGATTGACGGAATTTGGGACGTTGGAGGTTTAAGTCGAGTCTATTTGTTGTAAATGACATTTGTGATTATCTACATGATATTTTCAGACTATTATTTTGTTGAGAATTCAGTGTGAATGAATGAAAACTTGCATATTCTGAATGTAAGCAATTTTGTTTTCTATAGAACTACTAAGTGAGGAAGATGACTATAGCTTGGCATTTCCACCATTTGGTGGCTTTAGATGTAAGAGTGGACTTGTGGCAGTTATTATTCACTTAAATAGTAAATTGTAATGGCTTTCCGCTACCGCTCCTTACCAATTGTGATTAGCATGACGGTTACTATTTACTAATTATTTAATGGACGATTAATTTAGAATAGGTTGTTATGATTATGTTACTATAGTAGTTACTCTTCATCCATTGTGAATAGTAACTGTCATGGATTTGGATTTGGATTTGCGGCTAGAATCGACCCGGTAGCTGCCAAGGCTCCATCTACCAGCCATGGCAAAAAATGATGGGTGGACTTGCTCTAAGACCTAGTCTGGACTGTGGTCCTTGAGGTCCATTTTTTCGAAACTACATCATGTATTGACCCAGGCCTACACCTGCACCTGCAAGGCATACACTTAGACTTGGGGTCAAGCTTTAGCCCATAGCTTGGCCAGAATTTTTTCTTGAAGATTGACCAATGTACCTAGTAGGGTCCACCATTTGGTTAATCAGAGAGACAAGGATTGTTTGCCCTCCACTTCTGGTGCCCTTACTGTGCCCTCCTGTTTGTGTGATCACGGTTAAGCCACGTTAATATTTTATATTACTATTCATTTTTGTCTTATTATATCTATAAAAAAAATAATATAAAATGTTGACGTGACTTAACCGTGACCACACAAAACAGGAGGGCACGGGGAGGGCACCGGAAGTGGAGGGCAGACAATCCTTGTCCTAATCAGAGAACTTTCATTGTGCGAGTACACTATTGTGTAACGTTTTGTGTCAACAATATAATATTATTTTTCTTTTTACATGGTGTTATATAATTGGCATGGATTGCCACGGTGTCATTACACTTGCAATAACGTCTTGTGTCAAAGGTATTCTCTAAGTGTAAGTTTCGTTTTACACAGTGTTATATTATTGGTAGGGATCGCCACGGTGTCATGTTTATAATCGAGAAACTTTTAAAGTGTTTTTGTCAAACGCTCCTTTTAAACATTTCAAAAACACCACCAAACAAACTTTATTTTTTTTTTTTTAATTTCTCATTTTTGGCTGAAGATAGCTATGCTTCACCACCACATTATGAACCTGACATTACAAGTACATAGACCAGTAATACTAATAGGGGATAAGATAATCAGAAGGAAATAATTTCACTTCATAGACATTCTTCTAATTTTATAGCCGTTAAATTGAGCAACTAAAATAAAATTAACCATTAAAATTAACAGGGAATATGCGTAGTGTAAAAAATGGCGTGCTGAAATCATTGCCCGTGAGATAATGCATTTCCACAACTGCATAAACTGCTCTGATTCTCTGAAGACTGAGGCATCGTGGAATTGTGTGGTTATGAAAGGAGCAAACACGTCCAAGGCAGCAGGAAAAATTAAGCCTTGAGTTGACATTATTTAGAAAAATGAAAAGAAAAAGGCGAGAGTGAGTGAGTGAGTGCGTGAGTGGGGGTGGGTCACTGTTCTCTTCTATGCACCGACAGTCACGGATTATGGAGGCATGATAAGTTGTCAGTCCAAATGAGGAAATAATAAGTGATTGGACAAATGGACACTCTCTTTTTTTAGTCTTTCAAATTTGAAGTCACTTGAAACACAAGTTACTTTCTTTCTTTTGTTTTGCCCTCAATTTAATCAAAACCAAATGCAATGCAAGCAAACATGGGCCACTCTACTTCCACTTTCCCTTCCCCAACAACTTACTCCACTTCTCTCTATCTCCGGCTTTATATGTCTTTCTTTTCTTCTGAGAAAAAAGATAATTAGGAGTAGTATGTGTGCGTATGATCATTGATCGCTTAACAATCAAATCACGATTGAGGCCCTTTGAAATGCATATGAAAACACCAAGCTTGATATTTAAGTGGCTATGAGTATTTGTCTTTACGCTCGATGTTCTAAATCCGGTTTGTATCTTTTGGGAAGAAATGTGTATATACTATAGGTGTGATTCAATTTAGATTATGTGTATATACGATATATTTCATTGATCACTTAAATAAAAACTATTTTTATTATGCTTTTAGAATAATCAACTATAAAATATACCAGTCAACTGTTTGATAAACTGTATTTTAAAAACGATGCGGGTATGAATAGCAGTGTAAAAGTATTTGATAAAATTTAATATAAAAAATGCTATAACTATGTATATGATAACAATGGACATATTGGTAGGGGTGGTGGCTACGATGGTGGTGGTGATGGTAGTAATAATGGTGAGAGTGATAATAGGGGTTGTGGCGATGCTTGCAGTGACAAACGATGGTTATAAAAGTAATACCAAACGAGACTTAAGTATGACATTTTTACATATATTAAGAAGTTACTTTATTGAAAATATGTCCATTTCTTACGATAAAAAAAGGAATTGTTTAAACTCATTTTTAACAGTAAATGCATGCAAAGTCTCCCAATCGAGCCTACATATATCAACAATCAGGAATCATAATCACTCGTTCGTGGATGCGCACTTTAGTTACTGGAACACTTTTCTTCTTTTACCACAAACAAAATACATACAATGATGTTTCTCGTTTATATATAAAACCGATATAAACAAATATATATTAGCTGTAATGTCAGTCCCATTTGTATTTTGTGATCAGATCCTTGGATAGAGAGGCAAACAGATGGAGAGCCCACCTGTTTAGAATAAAGCAGCAGCAGCAAGTAACACGAGCTCACACAATTTTTCCAACACCTTCAACCCTCCTCTCCACCACTTACGTAACTATTTATTTCTTTAATCAACATATATTTTCACCATTGTATTTTTATACATCAATACGACATGCTTGCATGTTTGATATGTTGGAAATATATAGGATATATATTGTTAGGGTTTGTCGAGAATGTGATTTTCTGGTCCAAATCATTTATTTCTTAGATACAACTTCAAAGATATTTCAATATATCATGTATATATGTGTGCCTTCTCCTGTATAAATGATTCTTCTACGTTGTAGTTAACTTTACTTGCAGACACAATATCGACAACCATATCCACCACATATTGACAATTTTAAGTTCGTAGGATCAACAATATCAATGACAAATCCGCCTATAAAGAAAATTCAATACTTGTTTGTCTACTAACGATGTATATCTTATTTAAAGGTACATATATGCAGATATTGGAAGTGTGTAATTATTCCACGATATCGTTCAACATAATGATATATTGTGAATCTGACCTAATGATTATGCTGGCTCTTGAGGATGGTGGTGCTCTACATTTATACATACAGTACTCTCTTTGGTTAAGTACTTCAAACTGGAAGAGAGCTTGCAGTGAAAACTGTCAAGAAATAGACCAATTATTTAAGAAGATCATCAAGCGCTAGATTAACTAAAATTTAGAGTATTATAGAACGTAATTGTTTCTGTGATTTCTATAAAATAAGAATTGGAATTAAAAAATTTTTGGTTCATAAAATTTTTAAAAGATTAATTTTTGTCGTGTTAATTAACTGTCAAGAAACTAATTAGGTCTTGGAAACTTATATTGTAGACAGCGTACTCGTTCAGTTGTTCATGCAACTTAATTTCGTCGACCAGATTCTTGGTCAGCGTGAACATATCAATTAGGAACTTGAGATTGAACTGCTAAAATTAATCAGAGAAAACATAAAATATTCATATATTCCAATTCGGTAGCTGCTAAAATTAAGGCTTTCCACGATCAACTCTTTACTCTTTTAATTGGTAAAGAACTTTTGCCCTCTTAAAGTAAAACCCAAAATAATTTATGGCTCATTTCCTTCACATTTTTTTTTATCAATGTGAGTGGGGTATTTAAACTACATACTTCTTCTAACTATGGAAGAAAATAATCACTAGATCAATAATTAGTTGGTTTTTTTTAATATTTAATTGACTATACTTGTTCGGGCGTAGTCCACAGACTTGTAAAAAAAAACTTTTGTCTAAGTTACTAGCTAAAGAGAATTTTGATAATTAATCGAGACGAGAGAAACATGAATACAATTTTTTTAGTATTAGCAATATTCCGCGCTAATTTATACTGACCTACATAAGAATGCAATGTATCTTCTGACCAATAAATAAATATATCGATCATTTACGATTAGGAAAAAAAGAAGAAAGTTATAACACTACGCGTAAAAGATAAGCTAAACAAACTAACAAGTGTAAAAGATCGCTAGAACAAAAAGGTGGTCAACTAAACATGTTCTAGTAATGTAGACTTATAACACCACGTCGCACTGTACTATGTCATGTTGCCGTTACATGCATTTAATTAATTTTCGAAATTACAAAAGCAACAAAAGAAATTCCTTTTTCTTTTGTCAAAAATGAAAATAGAGATAATAAAACAAATCCAATGCATGAGATCACATGTGTCCGGTAAGCTCAGAAATCGGTGAAATTTTATCAGCTTCTTTCAGTTTTCAGCTGGAAGCGTCCAGAGATTAATGCAGTATGAAGGTTGAGCCAAAATTACTAAGAGAGAGAAAGTGATATGAGAGAGAGAGAGAGAGAGAGAGAGAGAGAGAGAGGGTCAAGCTAAGATAAGGCGGTGATCATGGAAGAAAATAAGGATAAGATGACAAATGTGGATGAACTTCCAGAAACCCAAACCGCAGAAGTAATCCAGAATAATAAATTAAATTTAATAAACAAAACAAAAATAGAGAGCAGCTTTCAGCTTTGCTTTGCTTTGCATGCTTATTAGTATTACACGTTTAGACTGCAGTTTTAGGAATTCTCTGGTCTTTAATCATATGATTAATGAGAGTTCATTAATTAATCACAACCCAGTTTAGCTTAAGTTATGTAAGCTTTCCCTCTTATGTTGGTTTTCTCCTCTTCTTTTTTCTATTGTTTTACTCGAAATTGAAAACTGCCCTAAACGGCATTTCGTTTTGGATTTTTAGGGCAAATGTTATATCTCAGTAAGAACATGTGCACTGCGTAAAACATGTCAGAACAAGTTAATGTTGGTCTTAATCAGTATATATATTAGCTAATTAGCACCAAATCCAGATACTAATAACACTAATTAATTAGTTAGACGAAAGGAAGTTTAGTTAGAACCAAGTGATGAAACCCTAGCTAACCAAGCTTACCATGCTAATTATTTCAAAAAACAGACAAAAAACAAAAACAAAAAGAAAAAGCTTAGCCTGTTAATTAAATCATCATTGATAATCAGCACTAAAGTAAAGAAAATCATCACTCTACTTGCATGATCATGAATTAAGGGTACTAAAGCTAAAGATTAATCATAACACGATCATAATTTAATTAATTAACTGGGTAATTAGTACACTGCAAGACCTCTCTTCTCTCTGAGCTAGCTACCTAGCTAAGCTAAGTAGGCATTAAATGGAATAAAATTTGATTAATTAGGGCACTAATTTCTTACCAAGAGTGTGCTTGTTGTTGTGCATCCAAACCTTGAACACATGGCGCTTCACTCCGGTCTCTTCGCAAAACTCCTCAATCGCTGCTTCTTCATGTTTCTGAATTCTCCACCCAACTTTCTCCGCGAACTCCAGCATCTTCTCCTTCTGCTCCTGCGTGAACTTTGTCCGGTGTCTCTTCTTGCTCATCCCGAATCCTCCTCCGCCTCCACCGCCGCTCGAACTCGGATTCGACACGTCCTCTTCCTCTTCCCTACTATGAGACCCTCCGCCGCCGCCTGATGCAGCAGGCAAGGCCAGTGTCGGCCTTGCATGCGGCGAGGTGATCAGATAGCCAGAAGGTGGCGGCGGTGGGCGATAGTAGCCCGAGGAGAATTGGTGCGGATGGTGGTGGTGGTGAAGGTGGTGGGACCCACCGGCACCCTGTTGGTGATGAATTAACTCGGCCTCGGGCTCCTTGCGGTGGAAGTTGCGGTGGCAATTGCAGGCGGCGCATTTTAAGGCATCGAGGGTGCCCTCGTCTCCCGCAGCGAGAAACTCCCCGCAGCCGTCGAGGGCGTGGCCGCCGATGCCGATGGCGTGGTTCTTGAGGCACTCTCTGTACCTGACCATGGTGGATACGGCAGTGGTGGTCGTGGTGGAGTTGGGTGTTGCGGCGGTTCCCCTTTTTCGAACGATGGAGGCAGCCCCCTCGCCGGTGGGCCCCAATTTGGGCCTGGAACTAGCCGCAACAGAGGCGTAACCTGGTGGCGCCGCCTGCAACTCCATCTCCTCGTCTTGCTCTTCGTGCTCGTCAAATTCCATTCTCTCTCTCTATGTCCTCTCTCTCTCTCTCTCACTCTCTCTCACTCTCTCTGAATTCTTAAGGAGAAGTGAAGATCTACATGGTTGCTGGTGAACCCAATGAACTGATAAAGATGACGATCAACACCAACAACAAAAAAGCTTCCTCAACCGGAGACAGACAAAAGTACATGACCACTGCTAAATGTTGGTTTGTATTACATCCAAGTGTTATGTATGACATAATAGTAAATAATTATTTAGTTTTTTTTTTTTTTAATTTCAAACAACTGTTAATTTTTTTTATATTTTTTTTGTTATCTTGTAAAATGGGTACTTTTTTAGAGGGAGGTGGATTGTCTGCCCTCCTATTTTCATACTCTTTCCATGCCCTCTTGTGATGTATGGTCACGGTTAAGCCACGTCAATATTTCATATTAATTTTTTTTATAGAAATAATAAAACAAAAAGTAATAAGAATTTAAAATGTTGACGTGACTTAACTGTGACCACACAAACATAAAGGCATGAGGAGAGTATGAAAATGGAAGGGCAGACAATCCACCTCCTTTTTAGAGAGGAGAAGATAAGAGGAGGGTGGAGAGTGTGGCCATCAATTCCCCAGTCTTACTCCAAACATTTCCCTTTCATTTACTTTACTTTCTTTTTCTTTTTGTTTTTTATAAAATGATATAATAATTATATTTAATTTATTTAAGTTACGTAAAAGATAGTTTAAAAGTAAGTGGAGAAAATGAAGCACACTGTTTTAATCAACTTGACAAACTCAAGTTTGTCTTACATTTACTTTAAGTTGCTTTCATTTTATCGTAACTAGTGGTTAGGCGTTCCACAATAGTTTAAGTGATTTGATTCTTATATATAAGAATCAGACAGTCTAAGTTTAATTTCTATAACATTATTGTTAGAGTGATGCGAGTTTGGTATATATGAGTTCTATATAATAATCGTGGGACCATTTTTTTTCTTTTTCTTTAATTTATGATTGGTTGTTCTCTTTTTATTTCTCAAATATGTGTCATTTATTACAAATAAATCACACTATTCATGTGTTTGATATATTGAACCAAAAATAAGAATCACCCACTCGTATATTTTGATCTATTGTATGATTGTGATTTTTATATTATTGACATCACATTCAGTTTTACAGTTACTATGGAAGGCCTTAACTCTTTAAACCTTTCCCAGGTTATTTTCTTTGGGATTTGTTTGGTAGCCTCTGCTTTTTTTTCTTGTCATTTATTCCTTGGGTAATTGTATTGGTAAGAGCATGGAGTTTGATTGGTTGTTTTGGGTTTTTGCGTTTTCCTTTTATGTGGAAACAGTCTTTTGTTTTGTTCTTTTTTATCTTTGTGGTAAAAGTGGGATTAGGATTCACTTTCTCACTATTAGCATGAAAGTAGAAAAAGGAAATGGCAGAGAGTGGGGAATACCCACTTATTAACCAGTATTCTCTCATGGCAGAGACCAGAGAGTGAGGTAGCAAATGTTGCAAGGTTCATGTTTGGAAACAGGGATAAGATATTTGAAGGGATTCAATGCAAATTCAACCCTAAGGACAGTTCTCTCCACTTTGTTGGAAGGCATTGAGTTTACAAGTGTAAGGAAAAAAAAATTAAGGTTAGCTGTTTATTTTATTTTATTTTTTTCAGAACAAAGGATATTGTCTACACTAAGTTAGGAGAGAGGGCTAAGCTTCACAATGAACTAGCAATAATGTGGTTCAAATTTACCTTTAGTGAAAATCGAACTTTAGACCTCTCACTCAAGTGGAGGAATACTACTTGACTGTGGTATTAAATAGCAACAACAAGTTAGTGAGACTTTGCACATTCTTCTAATATAGTCTCAGTAACTGTTTGGTTATTACCTTCTCACCAATAAATAAATTTATTCGTTATTTTCAAATTACAACTAGATAAGAAAAAAAATATAAATTACCTAACAAAAGAAGAGAGATAAATCAATTAACAAAACATAAAAGATTGACTAGAACGAAGGTGTGGTCCACTATGCGTGTTATAGTATGTGTGGACGTATAAAACCACGTCGTATATATCAAGTCATGTTGCCGTTACATACATATATACAATTATTTTTCAAAATTGAGAAAGCACCAAAAGAAACTACTTTTTCTTAAATAAGAAAATAAAAACAAATCCAGTGCATGACATCACATGAGTACGCTAAGCTTAAATATCAGTGAATTTGATCAGCTTTACTCATAATGCACTAAAAAAATGACGGAAACAATCTTAACCGAACTAAAGTAATCACTAATGAACTAGTTGAGGTTGATTAAGAAATGATTATAAACGTACATAGGACATGTCAATGTAATACCAAGCTTGCACATGCTAAAAGAAACACCACAATTTCTCAATTACAACAAACTCATTAGAAATACAATACAATTTCTCAATCTTGAAAGATCCACATCTAATCAACAAGAAAAATAATACTCACGAGTGCTAAACCTTGAAAGTTGTAGAACCATCGTAAAGGCATCACGAGGAAAACACTGCACCACCCACTATTGGTCTTGCAATTGTCAACAAATTAAGAAGCACTTCTATGAGTCACCACCAATAAATGTAGCTTCCTCCTCATAGTTCTTTCCATGAACACATATGTCCTAGGTTTGAAACTACCCTCCGCCTCCAAATTATTGTAATAATTTCAAACCCTCCCCCTTCCCTTAATAATATTTTTTTTTAAATGCACACAAACTGAAAAGAAAAATGGAAACGACCACCTTATAACTCTGAACAACAATAGCTGCTCAAAGATTCGAGTTTGACTTGTATGTAAGCCGTAAATGCTACAAATTAAATCTCTCATTGACATATTGGGAGAGAGACAACTACAAAGACTCTTTTAGCCAAAGCTAATGAGCGACCACAACTGGAAGATGAAAAATTGAAAATGGTTTCAAGATAGGACAAACAAGGAGGGGAAGAGACCAAATTGGATTCTAGCTAGTTAGCAACTAGGGTTTTTATGCTACTCACTTAAATCTGAACTAATTCAATCTTCACGCTACAAAGGTTGAATCCGATCAAGATCAAATTGGATCCTAGTTCGAATTGAGTATAATGGTTTAGCCCCTCAATATCTATTGCAATTTGACCAACCACAACATATAGAGCACTGACCATTAAAGAAAAAAGCCACATTAATTATGTATATGATGTGCTTAGTTAAATTTTCCAATATATATAAAGTTAATCAATGAATTGAAATATAACGGAAGGTGAGGCAAATCAAATAATTGATCCAGCTAGGCTGGATGTGGATCAAGAACCAAGGGAGAGGTGGGGTTGCTCCTACAATGCTTACTGCTTTAAAGATTGGCTACAGAGGCTGGTGTGATTTGCTGAGGACACTGATTTTACATGGGAAGATTTAAATTGTCGGCATTTTTGGGAGCTGCCTACGTGCCCTCCATTTTCAGACATTATATTCATGTGACGTCTTCTTCTCCCAACAACTTTTAAAACTTATTCGATCCAGCTTTGATTTCTCACGGACTTTATTTACAGTACCGTACTCTCAAGTTTAGAATTTTTCGGCATGCATGGCTGGGTTTAGGGGTCTATAATTTCTTTTTGAAGTAATTAAAGTGAGCTTGAGAGCTAAATTGAATAATTCTTGCTTTCCATGTTCATGGCCCCTGCAAATTTCAAATCAATTAACAGTTCGTAGTTAAGGTGAGCCAAAGTTCTTCCATGGAGTCTGCTCATGGTGGAGGAGTGTATGGCAATTGAAGGTCCCTAACAAATCAAAACACTTTGCGTGGCAGTGCTGCAAAGGAGCTTTAGCGGTCCAACATAATTTGATTAGGAGAAGGATGAGAGTGGAGAATATATATTTGTAGGGTCTGTGGAGAAGAGGATGAGACCCAATTACTGTCCAGACACGTTTAGCTGTCCAACATTGGCCATGGTCCCTGCAAATTTCTCATATAAAAAAAATTGAATAATACTTGGGTTTCCGACATGGGGATTGCACATATTTTATCTTTTACAGTAACGTTCTTCACTATATAAAAATCATAATTTCGACATCTCAATTTTTTAATCTTCATTTAAAATCATTCATACAAAAAAATTATTTGAAGCAGAGATCGTTTATCATCCAAATGTATTAAATAAATGGATGATTCATCATGAATATGTTACTTAGTAGTTGGTACTCACACTGTTGATTTGTTCCATACATTTGGATGATGACACGATTTTCCAATTCGAATGATTTTTTGTAAAAATGATCTTCAAATGAAGGTTAAGAAGTTAAATTATCCGAATTATAAAATTTTATACGGTTAATATTCGTTACTCAAAAGAAGAATATTTGCATTCCCCAAAGAAAACGCAAATATTATTTAAAAAATAAATCATATAGGACCAATAGAATGGAAGGAAACACATACATAGACCCACCAAATTAAAAAGAAAATAGACTTTCCCAAAGTCTTAAAAAAAAACTCCTTCCCATTTCCTTTTGCATAGTAATGAAGTATAAACTATAAGTTGAAAACAACCCTTGGGCTGTCTTTGCTAATTTTCTGTATTCCTAGCTTTGGCCTAGTTTCCATCCCTCATGTTTTTGTTAGTTTCCTCCGAAGTCAAAGGTAAATAGATTTGCCAAAAGCTGTTGTTGAGGTTGAATCATACTACTAGCGTTTTTCCTGTGGTAATCTGTTCCAATATTAATGTCACAGCCCGTCCCGAGATTTTCTTATTAAGGACGTGAAATGACGGATTTACCATTAGCGGGTATTAAGGTATGTGTGTGTGTGACGCTATTTGGATTAACTTTATATAAGTTTTGGAAAAAATATATTTAAGTTGGGATGGATTAAAATTAATGGTTTTGTAAATTTGTGTGGTTAGGGTTTGATGTTGGGTTTGTTTGGAGACCACACACACACCCTCGGGACATTTCCCTTTTCCTCCCCCTCTTTCCCGTGTCTCTCTCCATCCTCCCTCACGACTCTCACTCTCTCTCTCACCCCGATCGTACGGACCAACACCAAAACCCCCTGAAACTTCATAGATCGAGGATTTTGAAGACACCATCGTGCTCGTGAGGACTCTACGAACTCAACCACACCCATTTCAGGTAAGAAATCTTTCGATTTCACGTCGAAACCATAAGCACCGATTTTGGCACTGTTCATGAACTTGGTGTTGG